CTTGTATGCTGTCCCACGAGCAAAATTGCCGTAGATTTATTGATCAAGCGACTTTCCTCGACCGAAGTTCCAGTACTGGATGCTGCTGACTGGACTCTGCCACGTCACCAACAATACCGACAACATCGAACTCGCGTATTGAAGGGGAGTGTTGTAAGAAAATCGAATGTCCTATACAATTCACTAGTTTGATAGTATAACACTGCAGTAGTATCATAGTATTTTTATGTATTCATGTTACTGTAGCAGGTGTCTCTTCACGTGAGTTACAGGTAGTAATGCAAACATTTTCGTAACTGTTCGCATGACACAGAGAAATACTGTCAGAATGTATTTGCTGTCTAGCCTGCAGTGGGGTACTCTATAGTGAGTACAGCCCTGTTAGTTTTTGCTATATGTACTCAACTGCCTGCTAGTGAAACCCCTCTTTTGCCTATTCTCTCTTGCCTAGCTAGCTAAACCCTAGCTATGGCTCCTCCTTCTGCCTACTATTTTAACATGCTATCAGAGCGGTTACGCTCTTGGCCTGTGGGCCCACCTGCTTCCGCTGCCCTACTGTGTGTCGCACGCCCCGTGGCGCGCGATGTTCGATTTTTCTTCCCGCCACGCGCTCGGGGCGTGTGGCGGTTTTCTGCCCGCCGCGCGCTCGGGGCGCGCGGCGGTTTTCTGCCCGCCGTGCGCCCCGAGGCGCGAGGCGGTTTCCTGCCCGCCGTGCGCCCCGGGAGCGAGCGGCGGTTTCGTGCTCCATCCCGCGGGCTCCCCCCCGTCGTTCGTTGCGGCACCCTCGGGGACCCGCGCGCCCCCCACCCCCCCCCCCCCCGTCGTCCGTCGTGGCGCCCTCGGGGACCCGCGTGCTCCCCCCCCCCCCCCCCCGTCGTCCGTCGTGGCGCCCTCGGGGACCCGCGCGTCGCCCCCCCCTCTCTTGTCGCCCGTCGAGGCGCCCCGGGGGCCCGCGCGTCGCCCTCCCTCTCCAGTCGCCCGTCGAGGCGCCCCGGGGGCCCGCGCGTTGCTTCCCCCCCCCTCCCGTCGCCCGTCGTGGCGCCCCGGGGGCCCATGCGTCACCCCCTACCGTCGCCCGTCGAGGCGCCCCAAGGACCAGCGCGCCGCCCCGCTTCCGCTCACCTGCTGCCCCATCTCCTGCCCGCGTTTCTGCCCTGTGCCACCTGCGTTTGGGGTGTGGGGGTGGCGGGTATGGGGGTGGCGATTGTGTGACCGTCCCCTGCTCCTCCTCCTCCTCCTTCGTCTCCACTGCTGCAGCTGCCGCTGAGGGGGGTGGGTGTGTGGGAGCCGAGGGAGTGGTGCTAGGGGGGTGATATGGGAGTGGAGCTAGGGGTGCAGCAAGGGGGTGTGTGAAAGGGGTGTGGGACAGCTTGGGGAGGTTGAAGGGGGGTGGCCGCCGTGAAGCCAGCAGCTCCAGTCGCCCGTGAGATCGTTGCGCCAGTCGCCCGTGAGCCCGTCGCTCCAGTTGCCCGTGAGCCCGTTGCTCCAGTCGCCAGTGAGTCAGTTGCTCCTACCGCTCGTCTAGCTACAGAGCCAGTTACTCCAGTTGCCCGTGTGCCAGTTGCTCCAGTTGCCAGTGTGCCATTTGCTCCAGTTGCCCGTGTGCCAGTTGCTCCAGTTGCGCCGTGTGCCAGCAGTTTCAGCTGCCGCCCACCATCTCCTCTCCCCTCACAGTCACTCCTCCTCCTCACTTGCCCTTTGTGAATGCCTCTAGCTTTGCTTGTACTTGTGAACCTGCTCTGTGACTGCTTACTCTGCTGATTATACCCCACTTTGACTATGGGGGTGTCTTAGAATGTATTTGCTGTCTAGCATGCAGTGGGGTACTCTATAGTGAGTACAACCATGTTAGGGTTTGCTATATGTACTCAACTGCCTGCTAGTGAAACCCCTCTTTTGCCTATTCTCTCTTGCCTAGCTAGCTAAACCCTAGCTATGGCTCCTCTTTCTGCCTACTATTTTAACAAATACCGCTTCATAGAGTTGACTCGATACTCAACCCGTTTAGTGAACATGGCACATTACTGAAAAGGTACTTTGCTAGACTATAAATCTTGTGTATTTTTCCTTTACTATCAATTACCGTTCTCACATCAGCGTGTACAGGAATTCACAATCTTCCGTTACAATACTCTTTATATTACTAATCTCGAAAAGATCATAAGGACCTTTTTATAGCACAATAAAGATGAACATCGCCATGTAACTGTTTAGATTACTGAAGAATTACATTAAAACCACACATAATTGTATATCTTTATTGAATTACCTAAGAAAAATGCATCAAACAATAGAGAAACACAAATTTCAAACATACTGTCGCATGGTCTTTTGGGTTGATGCCTCCCTTGCAGAAAATTTTATCTGAATGGCTGTATTTCCGGCAGTCAGTCATCGAAGCTGCAGGTCCGTCGCCCGATCAAAACGGAAGCTGCTTCTCCGATAAGTTATGTGTTAACACACAGGGCAGATTCTGTAAGGTTCTTCATCCTCCAAACGCGTACCAAGTGTTGTCTGACACCCGCCATCATCTCCCGGATGGTCGATTGCTCCTGCAAAAAATTCCCTCCAACCCACGTCTCTCCTCCAATCGTGGTACAGTATGTTCTCGAAGTCCCCTCCCGTATCGATCATCCTCCGCCAATCCCTCCCCCTCCCATCCATTCCAAGGCATCATCAGTTCGCAAGGCATGATCGCCAAACGACAGCCAACCTCAAGGGAGTTTTTTTATCAGGAGAGCTACACTCCGAACCGCGAGGTGATTTCAAGGACCGCGGCTTACGGATCACACGCCACGGACGCCGAGTGCCTGAGTCGAGGGTGTTTCAGAGCTGATTTTGTCCCATCCAAGCTCGTAATCTGGTCGTTTGGGCGAGCCACCGGCTGGTACTAAGCGAACTTCCCACATCAGACCACCGACTTTTAGCTTAGGCAGGAGAAACCAGTCCGCACTGAAGGGAACCCGCTTTCACCGCCGTCAGCCGCGCGGAATGATCAACGTGGAACTGCTGCTCTGCTAACCGGCACACAGAAAAATCCGTAAGGCACTGGGCTCTGCTTTTTGAGACGGAATTGCAAGGAATGAATCGCCGGTGAAGGTCGGTCGAAGCCGGTTTGCTTCCTCTCGTTTCGATCCGACGCTGCTGGTGATCCGACAGCGCGGCAACTTACTCGCCAACTCCACAATAACCTCCTTGAAATGGCTCCCGCCACCTTTTCCTTTCTAAAACGCCTCTTGATCCTTAGCTGCTCCGTCAAATTTTGTCAGGTCTCGAGACAGCTGAATGTCGACGGATCTTGGACCCTTTTGATTGGATGACCAGGATTCCAGACCTGTTCGTCCAAGTATACTTGCTAGTCAGTACTTTGTGCCCGGCCCTGATCGTTTGTGCACGGCTCTCTTTGTAAGGCGTTCATCTGTTCATCTTGATGATTTCCCTCGGAATCTCTCGGATTCTGCCACAGACATTCCACTTCCCGCACGTTCTTGCCCTCCACAGGCACTTCCCAGTCTCTAATAACCTGTCACGAATCATACTCTTCTCGCTTCGTCTCCCTCGCTCCGCCTCGCTTCGTGAACCAGCTTTCACATCTGAAAATTTATCCATGCATTCTACTCCTCCCCTCTCACCCCTCACACCTTCCTTCCCGTATTCCTCCCCTCTCTCATCCCTGGTCCTCACCTCTGCATCCCCTCATCCTTTCCCTCATCCATCCCTTCATTCCTCCTTCCCCTCATCCATCCCTTCATCCCTCCTTCCCCTCATCCCTCCCGTCCCTCATCCCTCCCGTCCCTCATCCCTCCCCTCATCCCTCCATCCCCTCTTCCCTCCCCTCGTCCCTCCCTCCCCTCATCCCTCCCTCCCTTCATCCCTCCCCTCCCCGATTCTCCGCAGCGACAGCCATGGGTGGTCCGCCCGGCTCCAGGGCCCCCCGGCAGGGCCGCGTGGCAGGCGGAGGGGGCGGGCTGGGCGTGGGGGTGCGCGGAGCTGTTGCGGGCGAGGGCTTACGTAGCAGCGATGGCGGAGGGGGAGCGGGGGGGTCCGTGGGAAGCGGGGGCGGGGGGCATGGCAACGGGGGCGGGAGACCGCGGAAAACGTCCCGCCTGCTTCTGCATATCCGCCTGCACTACCGCCGGTTGCTTCTTAGAGGGGCAGTTGCGCTGGTCGCGCTGCTGCTGCTCGCGCTTCTGCTGCGCGCAGCATTGCGCCTGGGGGGAGGGGCGGGGGGCGAGGGAGCTGCGCCAACGGGGAGAGGCGGGCGGGGGGGGTCGAATAGGAAGCTGGGCGCGCCTGGGGATGGCGGAAGTGGAGAGGGGAGAGGGGACGACGGGCGGGGGAGGGGGAACAGTGACGTTGCGCGTGGGGGGACGGGGCATGGGGAGGCGGCGGGAAATAGAGGCGCAGGGTTGGTCCGCGTTGCCCTGGATAGAGGGGGTGTGGGGGCGAGGAGGGGGAGGGGAACGGACGTGTACGAGGCGAGCAGAGAGGGCGAGATAGTGAACGCGTGGGACCCGCAGTATGGGCTGGAGATTGACGTGTGGGACCCACGCACACACAACCCTCTCAACAAGCAGCTGTACGTCAACTTCGGAGTCCAGGTCGGGTCCAGGTCGAGTCCAGGTCGAGTCCAGGTCGAGTCTAAGTCGAGTCTAGGTCGAGTCTAGGTCGAGTCTAGGTCGAGTCTAGGTCGAGTCTAGGTCTAAGTCTCAGTGACGGCCTAAATCTAGGTTTAGCTTCAAACCCGGGGTCCACAGCCCAGCAGTCAAAATCGATAGGAAGGATGAGACAATCTGGGAAACATCTGAGACTCTGGTTTTATGTCTAGGTGTAGGTTTAAGCCTAGGCTGCTCCCTCGTGAGTGCTCCCCCTTCCCTCTCCCCAATCCCCCTCTTTTCCTGGTCTTCCCACCTCCTCTCATACTCTCTCACCTCTCCTCTTCCTCTCCCTATCCCTCCCCTATCATCTCCCCCATTGCCCCCCTTAAACTCAAGACTTAGATCAGAGTGCAGGTGGCAGGGGACAAGGACAAGGCGCCGTATCTGCCCGCCTGAATCCTGCTCCAATCACCCATTCACAGAGGCCCCTCCCTCACTCTCCCTCCTTCCTCTCTCTGTTCCCTTCCTCTCTCCCCCTCCCACTTTCCCCCCTCCTCCTGGCCTCGCCTCCTCCTCGCATTTCCCCCTCCCCCAATCAGCTCGGAGCTGGGATCGGAGGTGCAGGTGGCAGGGGGCAAGGACAAGGCGCACTATCTCGTCGCAATGGTGGTGCACCACCTCAACAGGTCCTCCAACATCTCGCTCTACGAGTGCCGCCAGGTGGGCTTGGGTCACATTGTGCATGCGGGTGGGTTGGCATGGCACATGGTCTCAGTTGGCTTTTGAGCCGACTCTAACTTAATAGGTCCTCCCACATCTCTCTCTATGAGCGCCGGCAGGTGCGCATGGGTCGGGTTGCACGTGCTGGTAAGGTGCGGTTATTTGGCGCAGTTGTATACACGTGTCTTCAGTAACAGTGATTCCAGTATAACTGCCTCTTATAAACGTTTTTCTAATAAACTTGTCGTCAAGTCCCTATTTTCCCCTTCACTGCCTCCTTCTCCCCTGCCCTCCACTCCTCCTTCCCTCTCCTCATCATTTTCTCCATCCTGCAACCATCGCTCCCACATACCATCTTGCACTGAGACACGCCATTCCCAGCCGTCATTCCCTCCATCTTCCCGTCGTTCCCTCCCTCCCGCCCCCACTTCTCCCACATCCCACCAAGCGTAGCAGTGGCGTGAGAATCTCAAGCCTTTTTTCCCCCGTCTGGGGCTTTCGTTCCCTCCCTCCCTCCCTCCCCAATCCCTCCCTCCGTCCTTCCCGCTACTGCTTGCACATCCCATGGTGCATGGCAGTGGGCCGATTACTACAAGTATGTGCGTGTCCCTTTACCATCATTCCCTCCTTCCTCCCTTTCGTTTCCCCCCCACTCCCCATTTCCCCCGCCCCCTCCTCGTCCTGCGTCCACATCCCCTCGTGCGTATCAGTTCAGTGGGGTGTATCATTACAAGCATGCAACCGTTGCCCACCCCGGGCCCTCATTCTCCCTCCTTCCTTCACCTCTCTCCTCCCCTCACTCGCTCTCCCCTCCTTCACTCCCTCCCTCCTCCCCTCACTCCCTCCCTCCTCCCCTCGCACCCTCCCTCCACCTGCTGCTTCCACGTCCCATCGTGCATGCCAATGGGTTGAGAACCACAAACATGCAAGCTTCACCCCACTCTCAACCCCCATGTCCATCCCCCCCTCCCTTCTTCCCTCCCTCGTCCCCACCTTCCCTCGCCTCTTCTGCTGCTCCCACATCCCATCATCCCATGGTGCATGCCAGTGGGTTGAGTACTACAAGTATGCGGGCGTCTCACATGTCGTGTGGTACGACACCGCTACAGACTCCCGGGATTCTATAGTAAGCGCTTATCCCTAACTCCACGTGTTGTTGTAGGATGTTGTTTTAGGTGCTATTGTTGGCACTTGGCATGTGTGCTATTGTGTTGTTTCGTACATGTGCGCCCGGACAAGGTAGTGGGGCGATTTGCAGCTTAAACGCAAGTGCGTGCACAGTGGCTGTTTATCAAGTCTGGTGGTGAAAGCAGGAGGTAAGATGGAATTGTCGGTTTGTAACGGTTTGTTGTGCGAGCTCGCATCAATCCCTCCCGCCAGTTCTCCCATCATAGCCCCATTTCCTCCACTCACCTCCCCTCTTTCCTAATTTTCCCTCCCGTTTCCATGCACTCCCCCCCACACCTCCTACTCCTCCTCCTCCTCCTCCTCCTCCTCCTCCTCCTCCTCCTCCTCCTCCTCCTCCTCCTCCTCCTCCTCCCCTTCCACCACCACCACCACCACCACCACCACCACCACCACCACCACCACCACCACCACCACCACCACCACCACCACCACCACCACCACCACCACCACCACCACCACCACCACCACCACCACCACCACCACCACCACCACCACCCGCGTGCACCGCCATCACGGCAATGCAGGAAGCGGCATGGCGGCCATACATCCGGGATGGCTTCCTCACGCTGCACTCCTTCCGCCACGTCTTCCCCTCCTTCGACCCGCAAGGCGTCGCCTCCAAGGACGACCAGGTGAGAGTCACATGCGCAACGGAAGCAGCATTTTGTATCATGGCGCACGCTCAGACTCGTAACCATGTCAGCTGTTTGCACAACGCGCTTACAAGGTGGTCTCTCTGACCCCCCAAAGACTTGCCTCCAAGGACAACCAGGTCGAGTCACATGCGAAACGGCAGCAGCATTTTGTATCACGGTGCTCAAACTCGCACAAGATTAAACATTTACGCAGCGCTCATGAAACGTGCTCTCTTTGACTTCTACAGGTCAGAGGCGCCACATGGCACTCGTAACAGAATCCCGTTTTCGCTTTTCACCGTCCTGTTTATAACCTGAAGCTAAATCCCCTCTCCCTTCCTAATTCCGTGCTCGTCTGTTCCAAAGCCTCCCTTCTATGCTGTCACTGCTGCTGATTCTATCTCGAGTCAGTGGTCTTCCAGCGTAACAACTACTTCCCTCATCCCCTGCCCCCCACTGTCGGTGACCCTGCAGTTCCTGACCACCCACGGCCCCCATCACGGCCTAACTTAAGGGGTCTCAAAGGAGTCTCCTTGGACAGGCGCCGCAGCCTCAGCTTCTTAGGCTCCTCACACCTCTCCCCCTCCCTCACTCCCTACTCCCCTCTCCCCAGGCGACCCTGCACTTCCTGACCACGCACGGGCCGCAGACGGCCTGGTTTGTGCGCCTGCCAGTCACCTCCTTCCTGTTCGCCCCCGGGGACGTGAAGCCGGGGTTCCTGGACCGGTGTCTGAGGGAGTACGAGGCGCACAGGCAGCAGGCGTCGCAGCTGCTGCTGCAGATGCTGCACTTCGTGGGGCCTGGCGAGGTGCGCGGGATGGAGGGGGGTGTGCAGGGGAGGGATTGATGTTACGGGGTGATGTTGGGCAATTGATAACGAGGGTACGAGGCGCACAGGCAGCAGGCGTTGCTGCTGCTGCTGCAGATGCTGCACTTCGTGGGCCCTGGCGAGGTGCGCGGGAGGGAGAGAGGTGTGTGAATGACTGAATGTGGGAGGATTTATAAGAGAGTATGAGGGGCACAGGCCACAGGCATCGCAGCTGCTGCTTCAGACGCTGCACTTTGTGGAGCCTGGCGATGTGCGCGAGAGGGAGGGATATGGGGGGCGGGATGTCAATGGATTGATTTGGGGGGAGGGATGTGGGTGGATTGATGTGGGGGGAGGGATGTGGGTGGATTGATGTGGGGGGAGGGATGTGTGGGGATGGATGGGGTTTCACATTTGGGGTTTTTGAATGTCGAAGGTGAATGCAGGGAAGATGAATTGGATTTCCGAAAAAGAATCAGCAGGTGGGGAGTAGAGGAGCAAAAAAATCACGTGCCGGATTCGTGTGTTGCTGCAGCTACTTCCGTTCATGTGTCCCCCAGCCTCCTTCTGGGTCTCAGAAACCAGTGCCTTCTCTTCTCCCAACTTCTCAGTGACCTCCTCCCTCTCCCAGTTCCCCTTTCCCGCCTCGCCAAGGCTCATCCCCCTCTCTCTCCTCTCCGGCTTCCTCCCATCCCTCTCTGGTATCACAGCAGCGCCCGCTCCCTGCTCTGCTCTTGGAGCGATTCGTGCATCGCACGGAGCAGACAAGGGGTGCGTCCCTGCAGAAGTTTGCGCAGATGACTGCAGTGGTGAAGCCGGATAGCGTGCTTCGTCTGTTCTGGCACCACCCGCATCACCTGGAGATGAGCAAGGGGGATACGGTGGTGCTGCCGGCAGCACTGCTACGCGTGCACTCGTTTGAGAAAGCGGTTACAGGGGATGGAGTGGAAGGTGAGAAATGGAAGTTGCGTTAGGGGGTCTCGCAATGATTTTGTGGAGCTGTTACTGCGTTTGATTATTTAACATGTGCTGATGTTTTGTTGTTATGTGTTTTGTGTATGCTGGTGATGCATTCAGGTGAGGAAGCGATGGCGGATACATCTATGCTTCCAATTGCAATTGAGTTGAACCAAATGCTCAACAAGGACTCGGGTGTGCGGCAAAGAGCGGGAGGTGGAGGTGCTTCCACACGTTTTGGACAATGACTGTGTTTTTAATAACCGAAGTTTGTGCATTTTTGGCTCATGACAAATCACACATGGTGCCAATTATTTATTTAACTCACAAATGCTTGTTTTCAGGATGTATCAAGCATGAACTAGCTGGAAACCTTGTTGAGCGTTACAATTTAGTTTCGCAAACCTGGCCGCCATCAGCTTCCCTTGCCCTCCAACCAGAGCGAAACAAGTCTGGTTTCAGCCCAAGGGTAGGCTGGCTGGCTTTGGCTGGATCCAGATTCTTACAACACGATTTAGCTCGGTTCAGCCTGGTTTAGCTTGGCACACACACTCGACTCTGACAAGCGAGCTGAACTCCCTTCAGCTCAGGGCTCTTCAGGTTTTTACACGTCTGTCTTATTTTTACCGTTCTAAACCACGACACAAAAGGCCAAACCGTGGTCAGCGACTTGGAAATATAACTTGCGGAACACGAGAGCAGGCAGCCGTGCTCCGCTGCAGAATAAAGACCAGCACCAACCAAACCCGCCTCGTCAGTACGTTTCTTGCTGCTCACACGGCCTTCTACTCCCGTGATAATCGGAGGATGCTGCGCGTCGCATGGCGTCGTCCTCGTCAGTCCCTTTCTTAGCATCGTCTTCTCTCAACGGCGCCCTCGCCTCGCGCCTTTCCGATACGTCTCAGGTAGCGGCGCGCTTGCTAAGAGTTCACACGCCTGAGTGTTTCTGCTTTATTTTTACCGTACGGTGCTCTGCGCGTCGCTACCACTAGCGAAGCCGTTTTTTCGTGCCAATTATAGCGTACATATCAGCAAAAAATAAACAAATGTAATTTGAGCAGCTTCACTCCGTTTAGAGTGCTTCCCTCTACCTTCTCCCTCCCCCTCCTCTCCCCAGGCCGAGCCATCCCGAACCACAGCGTACGAAACGGACAGATTAACCCTAGCCGCCGCGACGCGCATGACTCCCGCAATGGACGGGCAAGCCGTGGGCGAGAGAATGTACCGACGGAAGCGCCAGCGGGCGTCTTTAGGCGGCAGCGCAATCTCCGATCAGGACTCCGAAGACGCGTCGAACGCGGCGGAAAGGTGACGATTACGCTATCATTTGTCGTTGTGTGCGTGTTAGTGGGATTGAGACGCTTAAATTCTGTAGTGTTCGATTTCGGGGAACAAACAAACAAAGAAACCGCTTTTCTTGTCGTTCGTTCTAGAGTTTCTCTCCCGCGTCTCGTCATAATGCTACTGCCCGCGCTCCCGGCTGTCAGCGATGACTGCGCTGCAAGGATTGCTTCTTCCCCTCCCCCCTCTCCCCCCTCCCCATTCGCCCTTCTCCCTTCCGCCTCTGAGCTCACTCATTAGTCGATCCAACATTTCCCGCACCCGCCTTGAGCCCCACGTTTGACGCGTCTGACGTCCTGTCGTGCTGCGTGGCGTGCGTGCGTGGCAGTCAAGGCCCATGGACGTGGCCTCATCGGTCGAAACAAGCGGCGAAAGCGGTGTCGGGGGATGACGTTGGGAGGATACTCTTCGGCAAGCCGTCGCCTCACGAGGAGGAGACTCCCAAGCAGGTGCGTTGGGTTGATTGATCCGGCCGTGCTTTTTTCGTTCCCCCTGTGTTCTTTGCTCTGCTGCAATCCTCCACTGGTCCAGGTAGATTGTTGTGCCGTGCATCTTTTGAAGTTAGCATGCCTTTTTTTTTTATCAGCTTTCGGTTTAATTGAAGTCTGTGGGTGGACTGGGCGGTGCAGGTGGAGCTGCGGTCTAAGTGGCTGGAAGACAGGAAGCCAGTGACCCGCAGTGGCAGGGCCGCCAAGGAGAAGGCTGCTGCTGCTGCAAGACTGGAGGTGGAGGAGCAGAGGAAGGAGGAAGATGTGCAGCAGCAGCGGCAACAGCAGCAGCAGCAGCAGAGGCGGCAACAGCAGCAGCAGCAACAACAACACCTGCAGCAGCAGAAGGATATAAAAGGACAGATGAAACCGCATATGACGAGTACGCAACAGCAGAAGCAGGATCAGCAGAAGGACGTGAAAGATTTGAAATTGCGTTCAATGAATAAACAGCAGCAGCAGCAGCAGCAGCAGCAGCAGGTACATGAGAGCCCGGGCCAGGAAACGCAGAAACCCCAGTTGAGAAGTCGAGGTTGTCTAGGGCCAAGTCAGAAGGTTCAGAGCGATTCAGCGAAGCATTCACCTGTGGACACAGGCAGAGGCAGAGGTAGGGGGAACACAGACAGAGGCAGGGGGGACACAGACAGAGGCAGGGGGGACACAGACAGAGGCAGGGGGGACACAGGCAGAGGCAGGGGGAAGGCAGGAAGAGGGAAGGCTGAGTCTTTACTGGAACCGGAGAGGAAGGGAAGAAGAGGAGGCGAAATCAGGGCAGCGGCTACTAGAAGGGTGTTGGAGAGGAGAAGGGAGGAGGAGCAAGCAGAATGTCAGAGTAATTCAGTGGTCGAGGTGCTGTTGCATAAGGATGGGCTGAATGTGGGAGGGAGTTTGGTGGAAGGAAGAGAAGTGGCAGGCGTGGATATGGCGAGGAGAGAGGGAGTTGTGTCGAATGGAGGGAGGGAGGGGAATGTTGAAGAAGCAAGAGGGGGAGATGATCGAAGTAGTGCTTTGGAGAGTGGTAGTGCAGGGAGCGAGAGTGAGGAGAGTGAGAAAAGTGAGGAGAGTAAGGAGGGCGACAAGGGCGATTCGGAGTGGGGCTTGCGACCGCATAGGAAATCAAGTGGGTTGAGTGTGTCGCCAGGCAAAGGGCGGTTGAAGAGGGAGCATGGGAGGCAAGAGCGCACTGTCTTTGTGTCTGAGAAACAGAATTATTTTGCTGAAGTAGATGCTTTTGAATTGGAGGAAGAGGAAGCATCGGATGGTGGCTAATTGACTGCGGTAATTGAAGATGGGTGGTTGACACATTATTTCCAGAAGCCGTGTGATAGACAACTGACTGACCCAAGGTAGCGTGCAGATTTACTAACAATAACAATGAATAAGATATATTCCTGTATATAGGATATTGTTTAACAAGGTAATGTTTTTAAAGGTGATTTTTTATGTTGCTGTAAATGGTGTCTGTCTGCCACAATCTACCAGCAAATCAGGACTGATTGTGGTTGCATTATGTAAACGGGTATTGTCAGCAATTACTGGCCAAACTCGCTGATCGTTCACCCCATCAGCAATTTCCCAATTTGCAACTACTGCATCTGCCCCATCAAAACATGGTTTAGTATGAACATGAGGGAGGGGGTTTCTTTCGAATGCAGACCCTCAGACGGCACACAAGGCCATTGCCACTACGACTAAACTAAGCAGACCCCCACCCCAACACGCTAGCCAGTCTGCTGCTTTGGTTAGAATCCAACACCTGCCCCATATGCAGGGATTTAGGGTTCCCCTAGATCTTATACTAAAACCCTTGCACATTACATTACCTTCCCCTTCCCCTTCCACTTGACACAACAGTGCTCCCTCTCAAATACCAATACCGGTACCAAGCATTTGTCCCAGGAGGTTAGAGAGCGTGGTCACAGGGGCCCAGGGGCACAAACACAGGTTGAGTGAGAGGGAGACGGCATTGGTCTGATAAAGGAGAAAGATGGGTGGATTGGGCAGGGGAAACGGAAGGGTAGGCTGAGGCGCATTATCTAATGTCTCAATCCTGGAAGAATTTACACAAGGGAAACAGGGGAGAGCGATTGAAGGGTGTGGAGGACGAGGGAGATGGGGAGAGGGGAGGGGGTTTGGTAAAGAGCCTTCTGTGTATCCTTGCCTCTCCTTGCCGGAGAGCAGTCGGCATGGTAGGGTGGCGAAAGAGGGAGTGAGTGCGCGAGCGGTGGAGGAAAGGAGGGTGGATGGAAGTGGGTATGCAGGAACGTCTCTTAAGGCTTCTCAAACCCAGGTATGAAGAGGCATCAACCCCTTCCCCTCTCCCTCCACCTCCCCTTCGCCCTTCCCCTCCCCCTTCCCCCCCATCTCCCCCTCCCCCTTCCCCCCCATCTCCCCCTCCCCCTATTTTCCCTATCCCCCCTCTCCCTCCTTCACAAAAGCCTTCAGAGAGAGGACACGGAGAGAGCATGATGTGTGTGCGAGAGGGTCACCACTTGAGCACCCTCCCCCCCTTCCCCCCCATCCCCCCCAAGTGCCTCCCGCTTGCACGAGGGAGCGGTCTGGAGGGTCACCGCTTTGAACGCTTCGGGTTCCGCTCTCCCTGCATGCGCGGGAGGGGGAGAAGGGGAAAGGGAGAGAGAGAGAGAGAGATGTGTGTGCGAGAGAGAGAGAGAGAGAGAGAGAGAGAGAGAGAGAGAGAGAGAGAGAGAGAGAGAGAGAGAGAAACGGAGGAAAGGGGTATTGTGAGTCATTTCAGGAAGCCAAAACACCACTAGACATGAGTGAGGGAGAAAGGGGGCGGAATGAGCAGGGCATATGGGGGCAGTGGGGGGGATGGGGAGGGGGGAAGGAAGGGGAGGAGGAGGAGGGAAGAAAGGAGCAGAACAGGAGAAGGAACAGATAAATGAGAAGACAAAGAGGAGGTGGAGAAAAAACAGGGAGGCAAGAGGTGACTATACAGAACTGTAATGTGCTTACTACGGTGAGCGTGCTTGCAGTGAATGCCCTTATCAGAGCAAGTGTGCTGAGAGTTTGCTTACAGCGAGTGTGCTTACAGCGAGTGTGCTCACAGCGAGCGTGCTTACAGTGAGTGTACTGGACTCAGTGGTGGGAAGAGGCTGTGGTTTGCCAGCGAGGATCTGCCCCTCGGCCAGGCACTTGTCACACACGAACTGCGTCATCTTCTTCACCTGCTCTGGCGTCAGGTGGATGCACGTCGGGTGGAACCTGCCCGCCCAGGGTGTGCGTGTGAGGGGATGGGGAGGAGGGAGTGAGAGGGAGAGCGGGTGTGAGAGGGGAGGGGGGTGTGAGAGTGGTGGGGGTGTGAGAGGGGTGGGGTGTGAGAAGGGGGGGGGGGGGAGAGAGAGAGCGAGGGGAGAATGTGAGAAAGGGAGGGGGAAAACGAGGAAAGGAAGGAGAAATCGAGAGGAGAAAAATGGAGGGGAACGGAGGTGGAAAGAGGAGGGGGCGAAGGGGAGGAGGGAATAGAGGATGGTAACGTGTGAGGGAAAGGAGTAAGGAAAGGAATGGGGCAAAGGGAGGGGGAGAAGAAAAGGGACGACGAAAGGGAGGAGGGAAAGGGAGGAGGAAACGACGAAGTGAAACGAGGAAAATGAGGGGCGAGGGAAGGGGGGCAGAGGACAGAGCTAAGGAAGAGAGGGGGGATAGGTGATTACACAGTGGTGAGGCGAAAGGAAAAGCGACGGATGGAGGGAGAGCGGGCATGGGACGGAAGAGCAAGGGATGAGGGAAAGCGGGAGAGAACACTGGGAGCGCGGGGAAGGGAACGGATGGAGGGAAGGACGGACGACTGCAGATCTGGCAATCACCAGACAGAGGAAAGACGAGAGGGGAAGTGGGGCGAGAGAGGAAGAGGGGCGAGAGAGGAAGAGGGGCGAGAGAGGAAGAGGGGCGAGAGAGGAGCGCGAGAAGAGGAGGTGGAGAGAAGGATGGGGGAAGGGACGGACCAGTCTCTGCAGCTGTCGCACTGCACCATGAGATCGTCGGGGTTATAGGGCATCTCACACACACAGTACCTGCTCACACGTGCACACGCGCATGGGAGCACAGGAGCACAGGAGCACTTGGGCAAAAGAGGGCATGACGACACAGGCGCGCAAATGAGCAAGCGAGCATGCACATGGGCAAGGCGCGGGGGGGGGGGGGGGGAAGGGGGACGGGAGGCAAGAGACACAGAGGGCTGACGAAAAAGCGTCTTTCTCACTCCCCCACTCCTTCCTGTTTCTCTTCCCCAACCCTGAACTCCAGGCTTCCACCCCCTCGCCCGCACTCACTCCCCCTTCCCATCCCCTCCTGTCCCGTCTCGTCCCCTCCCCTCCCCTCCCCTCCCCTCCCCTCCCCTCCCCTCCCCTCCCCTCCCCTCCCCTCTCCTCCCCTCCCCTCCCCTCCCCTCCCTCCCACCCCTCCCCTTCCCCCCCCCCCAACGCCCACGCACACAGCGACATGGTCGGGCTTGAACGTCCCAGTAGCAGCCTTGTACTCGAACCGGTAAAAGTAATCCTCCGCCTCCACGGCCGCGAGCTTCACATAGCTCTTGAAGGAGTGCACGCGGCACACGCCCTCCACAGCATCCATGCTGCACACGTCGAAGTGGTCTGATAGGAACAGCTCCTTGGACCCGTGGAAGTTGCGCCGCCCGCCCAGGGATTCCTCCGGGCGGTAGAACCAGCGCAGGCGGACCTTGGTGTCCGCGCGCTCGACTTCGATGGACTCCACGCGCGCCACGTATGGCGGGGTGTCCTCCGCGGGCGGGCGCAGCATCACTGTGTCGCCCACTGGCGCGCGTGCGGAGGGGCGGAGCGGCGGAAAGGGGGAGAGGTTGAGGGGCACGCGGGGGGGACGAAGAAGGGGGGATGGCAGGGGATGGGGAGGGGAAATGGATAAGGGGAACAGGGGGAAGGGAGGGAGGGGGGAAAGTGAGGAGATGAGGAGAGAATGTGGAGAAGGCGATGGGAGGAGTATCGTATACAGATGACCCTGTAAGTCATGCGGTTACCAGGTTATGTGCGAAGCACCTTCACGACAAGAAGCTGCGCACGTGCGTGCACGGATGCGAGCAGCGTGCACGCGGCGGCAGAAGCAGCAGCGCCAAGCGCCATGCCCGAAGCGCAATACATTGTCGCACGCGCGACGCGCACCCGATTGAGCCGCTCGCGCGATATGTTTAAGACGGCAACTTACTAACTCATCCCGCAGAAGGTAAGACGGTATGTCGGACACCATGGCACCTTCATGATGTTACATTGGACTCCCTAGGGCGCACCTTTGACGATCTGGTTGAGTCGCTCGCACTTGTACTCTGTCACCGACTTCTTTATCGCTCTCTTGCCCATGGCGCCCGCCCGCTACCGCGTCCCACCACCACGGCTAATACAGAACGCCGAATGAATGACCCAAGTGTCGAATGCGGGAACGGCGAATGGGGAATGACGGATGGCGAGTGGCGGACAAGTCGAAAGCGGGAGCAGGAATTAAAGGAACACCGGGCCCAGCCGCTACAGCCACCAGCAGCCACAATCGCTTGTACAAACGGCCGCCGCAGACGCGAACAGGCCGGAACGGTGCCGAGGAAGCCTGGTAACCACCACTGCGCGCGCGCGCTCCGCGTGCAACTGAGCCGGTCGTTACGAGAGCGTGCACGTGTGTCCAATTAATCGGGCACCTCGGGACCCAGCTGCTGCGAGGTTGCGAGACCTCGGGGTTTCTATCGTAGGGAACGAGAGCGAGGAGATTGGTGGGAACAGAGGCGCAGGGCGTGACGCAACGACGAGTATACTAGGGACAGGGTGACGACGCGGGAGGCGAGCGTTGACAAGCGTCGACGAGAGTTGACGAGCGTTGACGAGCGTAAACGAACGTTGACGAACGCTGACAGGCCCGATTCCAGCGACGACTGGTACTCCAAAGCTGTCGGCGCCGCAGCGCCCGGAAATGTGCGGCCTACTACCACTGATCTACCCCTACGCGCGCGGCGCGTCGGCGCGCAAAACAAGAATGCTCACGAAAGTTAAGAGATGTTCTCTCCCTCTCTCGCGAAAGCGGGACGAGCTTCGAGGCGCCTCAAAAGAACCACTCAAGAGTCGAGGTTCGGATAGTCGCTTCAGTGAAAGCAGCGGCTAGGTGCGGCAGCTAGGTGCGGCAGCTAGGTGCGGCAGCTAGGTGCGGCAGCTAGGTGGTTCCACATCTGGCAATTAATCGCCTTCAGACGCGCTTGTAACGTGAGCTCATGCGACAGAAATACTCGCGGGAGGTCGAGTAGCACACGTGGCGAGACACGCGGGACGTATACTAGTACACGTGGCGCGCCAACGCCATGGGCTTCCGCCAAAGCAGTTGGAGAATTCTTTGCGCCATGAGAACAAACGGATGCGTGACCTAGAATGGGGACTTGAAGAAGATTTTACACAAAGTTGAAAGGTTAAAAAAAGTATCGAGGATGGGTGGACGGTCAGCGCGAAACAGAGGGCTTCGACTAAAACGTGAGGTTATGGGGAGACACGGGAACGGAGTGAGGTTGTGCTGCTATTGACTTGCAAGGGTGCCGCATTAGGGAGGATTGTGCGGGAGTCAATCTGGGAACGATGCATGTCTCGGGAAGAATACCGACTCTATTTAATGCTAGTACGAAGACTTGCGAAGGAAATTAGAACCGTAAGGGGAGCGCCGCGCTTGAGACGAATGAAAGAGGGGGAGGAGGACGAGGAAGAGGTGGAGGAAGAGTAGGAGAGGGAGGCCAGAAATTCCTGTTGAGGGAGGGTGCTTGGAGGAGCCAAGAAATAGGATGTTTGTGTGGGGAGGGAGGGAGCGGTGAACTTCGGTGGGTTGACTGCATCGGGATTTGGGAGAGACTCGGATCGGAAGTAACGGGAACGTTGCCGTGGTGGTGCTTCTGTGCGCTGGAGGTTTGGTTCACTGGCTTCAAAGCGATTCCGTACGGTTTATTCACGCAACGCATAGTATTTGGAATGGTGGGGAAGGGTTTGAGGAAAACCGCACTCGTAGGCACACCCTCATGGCCACCTCGAGGATGCGGTGGAATAGAAGCCACAGAATGAAGTGCTTGCGAACTTGCGCGAACACATACTTGCTAACATTTGAGGGCGCGTCCCCTCCCTAGATCTATCCTGCCCTTGATCGATCAAGGGACAGCTACAGTGTCGCAATTGACAGGGTATTAGAGGGGTGTTTACTGTTCCCTTTGAACAGTATCCCAACCCCAACCTTATCCTTATCTTTTCAGATTGCCTAGTGCCACGTGCCACTCTACCTTTCTTGCTTCTACTTTCTAGGCCCACGAAGTACTTTCCGACATTCGACCTTGCATGCTATATCATCCTTGCTTGTATCCACCACTATCAATCAATTCTCATTCAACTTTTCAATTACTCAGTTACTTCTTCGCCTATTTCGCCAACACTCTCTTTCGCCAAAGTCTTCCGCCGCGCTTTCATCCTCGACTTAGTCGACCCCGCTAACCTTTAGCGGATTTAGGCCAAGGGGCCTAGCACTTGGTATCAGGAGCCTTCGTGGGGAGTGACTTCCAACGAGCGACCGTCGACGACGAGACTACGACGTCATCGTCCCGCGGTGCCGACTTGCAGACTTAGAGTCGTCGAGCCAACATGGACGAGACCATGAACGCTCTCCCCAACGACATGGGCAAGACGCTTGCTCAACTCATGCGCCAACTCGAACAGTTGACGTTGGAAAATCGTCAGGTACGGGCTGAAATGCAACAGCTTCGTGAATTCGCGTCAATTTCTCATGGTCATGCCGCACCATCTCCTGCACCCAACACGTCGACGGGCGTGGAAGCGCTGCCGGAACGTCGAAGCGCGCTCAAGCCGCAGAAACCCGAGCCGTTCGACCCAAGCCAACGCGACGCGAACGTGCGGACGTGGATCTTCATGCTCAACAACTACTTCGCCGCGAGCGGAGTGCAAGAGGTGGATGCGCAGCAGCGGATCGAGTACTCTGTTACGCTGCTGAGGGGTCCGGCCTTGGAGTGGTGGCGCCAACTCACGCAAACTGCTGTAAGAAGGGCTCAGACAGACGGGCATCAACAGGGCGTGGGGCATGCAGCTGCAACTTCGAGCTTAGGGAGTTTGGCTTTAGGTGTTACCACGGTTCCGACGACATGGGAAGGATTTGAAGCGGCGCTGAAAAGTAGGCTCGATTTGGTGAACGCCTCCGAAGCTGCTAGGAAGCGTCTGCGTCATTTCCGACAGATAGGAAACGTCCAGGAGTTCACACGACGGTTCTTGAGCATCTGCAACGAGATAGATGATATCACGGAAGCAGAGATGCGCGATCGCTACCTCGAGGGGCTGAAGCCGGACATAGCGGAGATCATAGCGATTCACGGGCTGTCCACCTTCGAGTCGGTAGTCGCAGCAGCAGAACGTGTCAACGCAATACGAAGCCGACGGAGTCGTGACGATCGCGATAGGGGATACAACAGACCGATCAACGACGCTCGATCGAGGGACGGACCATCGCCCATGGAGATTGGTGCAGTTAACAGTGACGGCTCACAGAAAATGGGATTTAGGGGGAACTGTCACTACTGCAAAAAGCCGGGACACATGAAGCGGGACTGCCCACAGCTTAAGGAGCGGCAGCAGGGAAACGGAAACTGCCAGTAGATAGCGGGTCGCTAGCTGGTGTGGAGGTTCCCGTACCCGCCACGTCTACCAACGTAGAGGAGATAGCTCTGGAGCAGTCATCTACGCCGAAATCGGTAGACGCTGTTGACCGTCCAGTCGTGCTTCTAGGGAAGCTTCGTGAAGTTCCTGTTAAGATTCTCGTAGATAGCGGAGATAGCCACTCGTTCGTCTCTTCTTCATTAGTCAGTCGTCTCCATCTTGAAGCAGATTTGGCAGTCAACTTCAAGGACGCGCGTATGGTAGATGGGACGCCACTTCACATAGGACCAGTCATTCGCAAATTGCGCGTAGTGCTAGAACCAATCACGGTTAGGCGTGACTTCGACTCTGCCACACTGGACGGTTACGACTTCATCTTCGGTAGGGATTGGCTACGGACGGTTAGTACTCAGTTCGGTCGGGCCCAGGGAAGCTGCAGCGTCGAGGTACCAGAAGCTGTCACAGTGGAGTGATGGGGCCACATCCTCCACATCCATCATCAATGCTGTTCGTGTGCGGCAGCTGGTGAACCGAGCGGCACGGATCTTTGCGGTTTTCCTTGAGGAGGTGGAAGCCGAGGAGGGGAAAGGAGGGAGTGCAGCAGTTGGTGAGAAGGCGACTCTTCCTGCTGAGGTGAGTGCACTATTAGCAGAATTCGCGGACGTCTTCCCCGACGAGTTGCCCCCAGGGTTACCTCCCAGCAGAGCAGTAGACCATCGAATAGAGTTGGAGCCGGGGAGCAGGCCAGTAGCAAAGCCGCAGTGGAGGTTGAGTCCAGCGGAGACAGAGGAGATGACGGAGCAGGTTAAGCACTTCCTAGCGCAGGGTTTCGTACAGCCATCTAGATCGCCTTGGGCAACACCAATCCTTTTCGCGCCTAAGAAAGACGGAGGGTTACGGATGTGCATAGATTACCGCGCACTGAACGCCGCCACTGTCAAGAATAGGTTCCCGGTGCCGAGAGTAGAGGATCTCCTAGATGCAGTGCAGGGCACTAGAATCTTCTCAAAGATCGACCTTCGTTTGGGTTACCATCAGATTCGAGTAGTTCCAGAGGACCAGCACAAGACGGCGTTTCGTACGAAGCAGGGGTTGTACGAGTTTACGGTTCTACCATTCGGTTTGACCAACGCCCCAGCGACGTTTCAGACGCTCATGAACACCGTCCTCTCCGAGTTCCTAGGGTCATTCGTCGTAGTTTACCTAGACGACATCCTAATCTTCTCCAAGACGAAAGAGGAGCACGTGCAGCACTTGCAGAAGGTCTTCGAGGTTTTGCGGAAGGAGCAGTTGTACGCTAAGCAGTCGAAGTGCGAATTCTTCCTTCCAGAGGTCGAGTTTCTAGGCCATGTCGTATCCGCTAGTGGCATTAGGACCGACCCGAAGAAGATCGCAGCAGTACAAGATTGGGTAGCACCGACCTCAGTCAAGGAGTTGCAGAGCTTCCTCGGTTTCGTGAACTACTACCGTCGTTTCGTTCAGGGTTACGCATCGATCGCTAGTCCACTCACCGACCTACTTCGGAAGGGCGTGGAGTACATTTGGGGTCCAGCGCAGCAGCAGACGTTCGAGCAAATGAAGCAGTCGCTCACGTCTTCACCGACACTGTCGTACCCTGATCCCACTCGCCCATACGTTGTAGTGACCGACGCTTCAGATCAGGCCATAGGAGCAGTGCTTCTTCAGGA